TCACCCATGGTTGTACTTACATATGTATAAAAGAAACTGTAAAGCAAGTCTTTTATAACCCATTAAAATTCGAATATTTTGTAGCGAATGGCAGCCGCTTTTTTAAAGGTCGTCCAACATAGTTCAATGTTTTATTTCCGCTTAATGTGCCAGTTTTACGATGTTGTACAAGAGTTTATGACAACTTGACGCCAACGATTTTTTCCTCTTATCAATTACGATTTAAAAGTATTGTGTAAAGGACAAAAAAAAAGTGCATAGTTTTGTCTTACAGAAATGTAGAGCGTGAAGCACGACTCATTAGTTTTCAAATATTAATAAGAATTGCTTCTAAGAGTTACATAAGAGAGGATTGAATATGTTCAAAATACTCTCTTAAGCTAAGAAGTCTGTGTAGCGTAGTTCTCTTTTCGAATTCTTTCAGAAGGCTCCAAAAATAAAATTTGAATAAGTATAGAGAAAGAAAGATTGAACCAGAAGACCATACTACAAGGTTTGTCCGAATAAAAATAAGACAAAAGTTGATTAAAAAAAAATGTATTGAACCAATCGTTATAATTCTTTAAAATCTTTCAAAATAGGTTCCCTGCGTCGATGCAGCGCCGCCAGCGCAATTTCCAAGCATTGAAGGCATTCTCCGGAATAGCCTTGAGAGCCGAGGTGCATGCTGCTTAGATTCCTTCTATCATCTCAAAATGCTTGCCTTTCATCGATCTTTTCAGGCAAGGAAACAAAAAAGTTCAGTATATAGGGCGGCAGCGGAAGCGTTAGGATCCCAACCTTGGTTAGGTAGCTGCTCACAAGAAAAAGCAGGGGCGTTGTCGTGGTGCAACTTACAATCGGATGCGATGTCTTGTCGAACCCGATTGACCCTTCGCTTGAGTCTCTTGAGGACTTCCATTTAAAACTTGGCGTTGACGGTTGGTTAAGGAGGAAGAAATTCATGGTACACCATGCCTCTGATGTCAAAAAAGACAATGAGAATCGTTATTCCCTTGCTTGTGACTTTTGGAACATTGCTCCTTTGCCTCGGGATCATACACAAAGATACATGACTCGCCACCTGTGGCAAAATTCAATATTTGCCAAAAATCAGCAGATTTAGATACTTTATACTTCATATAATTTTTACTAAAACCAAAAAGTAAGTTCTTTCTTTCCACCAAAACAAGTCTTAATTTCTTACCCCCAACAAAACAGCAAGCTTTTGCATTACCATTTCGTCAAACACCTAAATGGCCAATTGTACTTAAATGAGTACACTTTTTCAAATATAAAATAATACAATTCGCAAGATCAAACAACAGATGGATTCACATCGTGGTGCAACCAATAACTCTGAACCGCATTATATCGGTTATGGTATGAATAGCAAATAACGGAGGTAGAGAAATTGTGCGAATATATATATATATAGTATATGTTGAAAGGTTAATATACATATATAGTATACATAAGTACATACAGTTATGCCATACAATAGCTAACTACCATACACACAAGCAAAAGTTCAACCACACCGATACACATTGTCTACACCACGCGAAATTATGGAGGTGGAGGCATGCTATGCACCACTTCTCTACATTCCAGCCCGAATTTGAAGTTAGCTGAAGCGAATACTTGTAGATATTGGAAAAGTTTTCCGTTGATTTTTAATATCACAGGTGGGTGTAAATAATTTATGGCATTAATTTACGTCTCATAGCCAATCGTGCGAAGAACCAGCAGCCAAAAACCGAAAACTAAAACACACGGCCCCTGCAGCACGTACAACAACGAACTACGCACGAGTATATACATTCATATGTACATATATTTATGAGGTGTGTTCAAAAAGTACCGCGAATTTTGAATTTTCGCGGGTTACGTATATTCGAATTTCTAATTTTTTGTGGCGTTATGTTGGTACTCATGTCTCTCACTTATGCCGGCAAGCTCGGCCATTTTGAATGTTCATTTAATTGTTGACAGCTGTTTTGCTAACACATCTTAGATTTTTACCTATTCAAAAAAAAAAAAAAAATGGATCAAAGAACCTGTATCAAATTTTGTATGAAAAACGAAATTAAGTGCGCGGATGCATTCCGAATGTTGACTGTGGCATATGGAAAAGCTACCTTGGACCGAAGCAACGTTTATCGGTGGTGCAATGACGGCATCGAAGGAGGAGCTGAAGAAGATAAAAAAAAAATTATTTTTCGAAGTGCTTCGAAGATTGGAAAAACTGTTGACACAAGTGTATAATATCTCATGGGGATTACTTTGAAGGGGACAAAATAGATATTCATGAATAAATAAATATTTTTTGAAAAAACACAAAATTCGCGATACTTTTTGAACACACCTCGTATTTACATGCATAAACATATCCAGAATAGAAGTCAAGCTCGGGTCACACATCCACGGCAACTTCCCTGCGATGAGCACACATGCCGCAAAGTTGGGGAAGAGCAGTCAGCGGAGAGTGTTTATGCATGCCGGTGGCTCGGTGAATACATTTATTGGTGAGCTACCGTGTTTCGGTGCGTKATTTTCAGCCAAATTGTAATCAGATTAATTAATTTAGAGAACTTTTAAAATATTTCTGATTTCATTTATATATTTTTTTTAATTTTTTTTTGATGTTATAGCGTTTAGAACATTGGCCGTTAGTAAAAAGTGCCGGAAGGTATTGATTTTGAGTGTGTTTAATTTTGTCTGGTATTTAACTGATTGTCTCGATAGATATGAATAAAAAATCAGCTGTATAAGCCAAATTGTTATATACATATATCAAGCTATAGTCAAATATTTATAATATTTCCTTTAAAATAATTGTAGGGTTAAGATAGAGAACCGTTCTTCCTTAATATTTTATCGGAGCGATATTAATCAAACTTTACTTACGCATAACCTCGATGATAAAAGWATATGGAAGTCTGGTCAAATTTTATGATTTTTCCAATAATATCGGATCTTTTCATATTTCTGTTCAAACTTCAACTTGTTTTTTTATTTAAAATGTACTTTAGTGAACCAGATATGTACCATTTTGATCGACTACTCTTTGCCGTTTTCCGCTAGAGACATTTTTCTATCAGTGTAAAACTTTTCTGGTTTCTCGGCGAAAAACTGAAATAAACAGTTTTTACAGGCTTCTCTTGAAGCCAATTTTACTCCATTAAGGGAGTTCTGCATTGGCCGAAACAAATGGTAGTGCGATGGTGCAAGATCAGGGCTTTATGGTGTATGCATCAAAATTTYCCAGCGAAGCTCTCCCAGGCCATTCTGTGGATCAGTTCTGGACATTTTTTYCGAGTGCTTGCTTCAATCTCATCAGTTCTTGACAGTAAAATATAGAATCAATCGTTCGACCAAGCTGGAGCAGCTCATAGTGGATGATTCTTTTCCAATCCCATCAAACGCTCAGCCTTTCGAGTTCATACCTGGCTTTGCGACCAAATGGTGGGCTTCACCACGCTTGGACCATGATCTTTTTTGCAACTTGATGTCGTATTTGACACACTACTCGTCTCCTGTTCCCATTTGCTTCAGAAATGGTTCGATTTCATTTCATTTCAGCAAAGAATCGCAGATGTTAATTCGATCCATAAAATTTTTCACAGACAATTCATGTCGTGCTCTTTGTAGCCAGCCTTTTTTAAATGGTTCAAAGCCGTTTGATGATGAATTAAGTTAAGCAGTGTAACTTTCTTTCAATACGAAAGAACTTTTTGACTTTTTGACTACCCAATATATTATCACTTGCAGCAGCTGGCAACTCTRTTGCAAAAAGAGGAAAATTATCGTAGATAGATAGACGAGAATGCCCGCGATCTTGGATCTATTGTGTTCTCCCCTAAATCAAACATGGAAACATGGAGCCAAGGACCTTTAAAGGCTTTCTCATTCACTTTATATTTAACACATAATTTTGGGAGTAACTTTTTTCCAGATGGCAAGTCCTTATCAAAAACGCTTACCGCAACTTAATATTTTCAAAAGTTGACAACTCTACAACATAACTTCATTAAGTTAAGAACTTTTTAGACTACTGCGTTTTCAAGTTTTATTTCCTATCGACAGGTGGCAACCCTAACTTCACCAAAGTTAAGATCTTTAGAATAATTTCCCTTAGATAACCATATTGTATTGTTTTTTTCACCTGTTCCCAGTACCTTGCACCTRAAACCGATTGAACCGGTTGAGATTCCATAATGAAGCAAGACCCTTCATTTCTAAAATATTCCCAATTGCCCCAGTGTGCTGTTATTTCTTGCTGCCGACGTCGGAAACGTACGCACACACTATCGCTCATATACACACACACCAACACAAATATATGAGCGCATTTGTTCCAGGTGAAAACTTTTGAAATTTACCTCGATATTRCGGCGCCCAAGCGAAGTTGTTGTTCAAAAGTGATGCACAAACATACATACGTTGCTAAAAACATGKGCATGTATARGTATATGTGAATATACATATATACAAGTGCAGTCAAAGCGTAACGGAACTAGCCCAACATATGCATGTATATGGTATATATGTACTTGAAACAGGGTTAGGGAAATTAGTTATTTTCTGCATGAACAGCTCCAAACGCCTTCCCCTTTTCAAAAACATATAAAGGGAATTTTGACTTTGCGCTTAAGAAGTTAAGTTTTTAATTTCCGCGTTCATAAATCAAAATCCCGAACATAAATTAACTGCAAACGAAAACATTGCTGACGAAAACAGCAATTAGTTGAAGATTGTGCATAAAATCGCTAAAAGGGATATGCCCTTAAACCTCCACAGGAGCAGCAGATGAATTGAAAATTTTCATAGAAATGCTGTTTTGCAAGAAAATCATTTTTTTGTTCCATTTAAGGAACATTTAAGRTACAAATAAAATAATTTCTAGAATATGAATATTCTTAAATTATACACTTTTAGTTCCTAATTTGCATTATGCCCACATTTAATCCACCTTTGTACTACTTAAACGTGCTTTATTATATTTGCCTTGCACTTACCTATGCTTCTTCGATTCCCTCGGTTTATTGTCGTAGTTCCGCTGATGAATCTCATGGTTATCATAAACTTCGTGCATGTTGGCCAAGGAGCTGAAGGGATTATTGTAAATGTTCGCAGAATGATGATGACCATCATGATGGTATGAGCTGTGCGAAGTGAAATCGTCTGTAGCGAAGCAGAGGAGCGAAAGAAAAATAAATATTATAATTAATCAAAGGGAAACTAATAGGTTAGCACAATTAAATACGTGCATATGCGCAGTTAATCTAATTAATAAAGTTTCTTATATTACTTTACGGAGGGCTCTTAGAGCTAAACCGCTGGTTAATTTTCTATGAACCCTGTATGAAATTGCATCGATTTTCTTTTTTGAAATTAACGCTGAACAGAGCACCTATCTTAAGTTTACTATGAAATTTGTAACATACAAACTGGAGCTTTGGAGGACCTATAAAATATGTATGATGTCATCCGCCTAAGAAGCTGGATAGGTTTATTGATGTCCGTCTATCTGTTTGCCTGAATACACGAGAATTAGTCCCTCATCTTTTCTAAATATCGATCTAATTTTCGCTACGTCAATATCTCTGAARGAAGTTTCTCATTTGTCGGCATCGCCGAAATCGAATCACTGACCCATAGAGTTGCTATACAAACTCAAAATCAAATTCACATTCTTACATGGAAATCGTCTTTRTTTGCTAAGATATCTTCACGAGATTTGAAGACGTTTATTAATCAATCCAAAGAAATTATCTTCGCACAAATTATTCAAATCAGAGTACTGTAAAACTGCTAACCTATAAAGTAACCGATAAACATTTATTCTTGTATGGATTATTTTTATTCGTGCAGGGKATTTTTGATTCGGGATAACCGAAGTTAACGTTTTCATTGTTATTCCATAATTAAAACAGCACACYTTACATCCCTTAATTTCTCACTGGGTACTCAAATTCATTGCCTACATGGCTACATTAAAATATTACGTACACATAAAAAATTTGAAGGCTTATGGCAAATACGGGTTATTACTGCATTATTATTACCTTCACTTTTACTAAGAATTTTATTATATTTCCTGGCATCGCGTAAGTCTCTATTACCGTTTACGACAAGGACATATAATTTCAGAAAAATAATTCTCCTTTGAGTATAAATCTGCCAGCAAATTGAACCATCTGCACAAACAWACACATTTATTATTTACATTTGCTGCACATCTTTGTAAGCGTCTGCTGTAATTCCAGCGCCCACGCCCAGCCTTTCTCGTGCTCAAAAGACAGTTGAATGTCATACGGAGTAATAGAAAAGCTGGAATCAAAGCAGGTACCAGCAGTTGCTCAATTTTACTATTTCATTGGCCATGAAAACTTGTATGTAGATACCCATACCCCTGTATCTAAACATTTTATTCGTCGTACAAGTATTTGTCGGTTTAGATGTAGACATAAAAATTTGCAATTTCATCATATTGGATGAAATGACCACTGGAAATGCTCAGAATTGGCGACTTAACAAATCAGATTGCTTATTTGTCTCGACAAAGGAAGCAACCTTAGGCCAGAGCAGTGGAAAGATTTTACAAGTTGAAGTCATGTTATTGGTACGAAAGTTATAAATATTTATAATTAATCGGTTAATCGATTGATTATTCGTATTGAAGTCGTTTATCGCTTAAGTTTTAATCATGTTTTTTGTTGGAAAAAATAAATTATCGATTTATGGCTGACTTTCGATTAAAATTTTAGAGATTTTAGTARTTTTTTCATAAATTATTTTAAGA